GACCTCTAACAGATTTCTCCATCCACACTTAAAGTGATCCTAAACCCAGGACTCGGCATTCACTCTATTTGGTCTCCCACAGTACACACAATATGGAGATGCAATTGTTTTGGTAAATATAAACTGCTAAATACCTTTTCTCATCAGCGGTTAGAGCAGTCTTGTGACTTCTATCAGTGCCCAGCAGAACACTTGTTAAAGCTTGCAGGAGGAGTTTTCATTCTGCTTCAGGAGGATGCGGGACCCCTGACCTCTGTCTGAACAGTGTTGATTGGCCCTGTGCTGATCACATGCACTCTCCCAAGAAACAAAAAAAAAAAACCTCTCTAGCAATACACACGAAACTGAGCATGTGCAGAGTGACTTCACATGATATGTCTTATCAGGAGATAAGAGGAGGACATTAGAAGAAGGGGAGGATCAGAGAAGTCAGGATCAAACAGCGTTTTTGCACAATGCAGAGGATTAACCCCTTAGTTCCACAGTGAGTTTAACAAGCATGTTTTATTGCATATACAGACTGATTTTATGGTTGTGGGTTTAGTAACACTTTAACAGTGTTGATGGATGAATCTCCCATGTCGGCCATTGTATTCTGACAGCTAACTCCAGTGGCTTTTGGAATGCCCAAACAGTGCCTACATCTGATAAGATGCAGCAGCTGTTTTGGCTGACAATTTTGCACCCGGCTCCTTCAACAAAAGTCAATTAAACAATGGGTGGGGATTACCAATGTTTAGGCTCTGTGCGTTAAGGAAAGATGGGGAATGCAGTCGATCTGGACGGCGCCACTCCTGCATGATCTTGTGTGCAAGGGTCCTTTTAAAGGATAAGGTCACCTTTTGGGGAAAAAAAAAATAATAAATGCACATATTTTTTTTTAAGGAGCCTGGAAAGCATTGCACCCATGATTAGTGGATCAGGGGTTTAATTCCAGACTCCTGCAGACAAGCCCTGCAGCTTTCAGCCTGTACCATCATACAGGCTGACTGTTTACAAACTGCAAGGCTTGTGAATGAACTATGAGACCACTCATCAGCAACCTTGCGTTCCATTCAGGACTACAAGCTGTCAGCCCCAAAAGGTTGATGGTGCTTATAGTTCAAGTAATTCACAGGACTCCTGCTCATCATTCCAGAACCTTCATCTGTGCCTTTTAGGTAGATTTAACCCTTTGATGCCGACTGCATGTAAATCAGCGGCCTCACAGAACTGGACTTTTTTCCGTGGGGCCGCTAATTTGCTACTTGTCTTTTTACTGGGAGCACGCCGCATGGATTGGAGTGTCACTGAGAGCCCCGGGTCCTGTTCTAACAGTTGATCATGTGATCGCTGTGATAACCTCTGATTGGCTATCACAGTGATCAGTCACTGAAGACCGCCCCCCTTGTTTTCTCTCTGAATGGAGGAGAGAGATACATTGTATCTCTCTCTATCCTTTCAGAGAGAGAGAAAAAATGTGTGTAAAAATAAGTAAATAAATGAAAATAACAATAAAAAATAAACAAAAATACCCAGATAAAGGTTTGATCTAGGTCTGTGCAAGGGTTAGTGTTTAGGTCAAGGTCAGGGTCAAAGTATTAGTGTCTGTTAGTGGCAGGATATAAGAAAGGGAAAAAAAAAAAACCAAAAACAAATTGCGCACTATTGTTTCTGGGTTGTCCTACGGGTACGAACAACAACTAACATACACACGTGGTATCACTGCGATCGCCAGGTGCAGGAGAAATTATTAGGGTTGTTCTTTGGTGGTAGGTTATGGTAGTATAGACAAATCAAAGAAAATATACAAGTGAGCGCTAGATGAAAAGCTGCTATGCGCCAATAAGTACCAAAAGGACTCTGCAAAGAACATATAAAAAGGGGCGCAGCGCTAAAACACAATATAGCTAATATACATGCATATATAGCAAATAGAATAAGTGATAATAATGTGCCAAGAACTGTGCAAAAAAGCAATATAAGTCCTTAAGTAATAGATGGTGACTCAAAAAACGTGCGTCTTCCGGTGATCAGAATAATTGAATCATGCACTCACCAGATGCATAATTCAAATATGCATATAGATGATATCCCGATATCCAAGCGGAGTTATCTTAAAACCGGATAAGGTCATCATCTGGGTACATCAGTCCGTCCAGGTTTCTCCTTATGGATCGTGTGTTTCCACACTAAAACACCTCTCAGCTGTCCCCTTGGTGGCTCTGCAAGTGATGGACTCAGCAGGGTAAGAGCAGCATACCCCAGACATCACGCCACCGCATGGAGCGGCGGCCATCTTTGTACACCTTTATGGTCAGTTTTGTATATGCTATCCTTGTTCTTGTTTTGGATCATTAAATTTTATTTTAAACGATATCACACCATCCTGGCTTTCTTTCTTGGGACCCTGCTGAGTCCATCACTTGCAGAGCCACCTAGGGGACAGCTGAGAGGTGTTTTAGTGTGGAAACACACGATCCATAAGGAGAAACCTGGACGGACTGATGTACCCAGATGATGACCTTATCCGGTTTTAAGATAACTCCGCTTGGATATCGGGATATCATCTATATGCATATTTGAATTATGCATCTGGTGAGTGCATGATTCAATTATTCTGATCACCGGAAGACGCACGGTTTTTGAGTCACCATCTATTACTTAAGGACTTATATTGCTTTTTTGCACAGTTCTTGGCACATTATTATCACTTATTCTATTTGCTATATATGCATGTATATTAGCTATATTGTGTTTTAGTGCTGCGCCCCTTTTTATATATAGGTTATGGTAGTAGCAAGAAATATACAGCTAAATTTAAAAAAAAAAATTTTCTACTATTTTGGGCCAGCCTTCCTTCGGTAATTAAACAAAAAAAAAAAAAAATCAGGAGATATCCAGTACCATTTACCACCAAATGAAAACCCAATTTGTCCTGAAAAAAAACAAGGTATGATCCACCTGAATGCACAAAATAGTTGTGATGTACGGTTTTTGCTAACACAAGAGTTGCAAAATTGTGCTTAGGCATTAAGATTTGTTTTACCCTTAGGCACAAAGGGGTCAAGATGGGATATTGATGTCAATCTTCCATGCTGACAGAGACTGCCAATCTAGAGAAGGCAACTCTTAAAGACTTGTCAGTCTTGAACCCGCTTAGCATTTCCAACACCACCCAACATACAGAGACAATTATAGTGAAAAACTATGAGACATTTGGCCAATACACTGTCAAATCCTACTTATTGCCATTATGTTGTATCCAGAAAGTACATTAAAGTGAATGCTGTGTTTGTCTTTGCTCTTGGTACTCGGTTGTTCTCATACTGACATGTACTAACAAATGTTGTTACTTTGACCAGTGCCCTGCCGAGTGTCTCATAAAATAAAGAAATGTTCCATGGAGAGCAGTAAAACAAATGGCACATTGAGCAGCTTATTGGTATTTTTCAAACAGAATATGAGACGCGTGTCTTGCAATGGCACTGCACATCAGGTGATCAATGTTCTTCTCCGAGGTGCACTGAGGGAAGACCCGGTCCTCATTCAAACTTGTCAGGAGTTTTCCTCTCATTGTTCCATTGTCATAAAGTTAGAAAAAAGTCAAGTACAGGAGATGGTCAGAATAGAAAGCGTGATCTGGCTGCTAGAGGCGCCCTCTCCCTCCAACCTGTGACATACATATGCTTGGATCACTGGACCTCATTTTTCCTTGACACTGCAATGCAACTAATATGTCCTCCTCTCAGCGCCGCTCTCCACCTCTGCACTTGTATCAGTGGATATCGTGCAGCCGTATCAGTGAATATCGTGCAGCCATATCATGCTGTCATATTGCTATTAAGAGCCTGTTCACACCTTGTCCAACTAGGCCTACTACATAGATAAGGCAATTCTTCTTCTGATGTGTTCAGTTCACACCACCATGTTGTGGTAAGGAAAAATTACATGAGCTTTTTTTTTTTAAAAAAAAAAAAAAATTATTTTTCAGCAGCATATTGCAGTAAATAAAGGTGAATGAAATATTATTTGTGACATTTCTTTTACAATGAATTTTCTTGCAGAATAGATATCAGAGAAACAGAAGCACTGACCAGCAGGAATAAAACGTACAAGTTTTCTGATGAATAATACAGGGAATGTACTGATGGATAGACAAGGAAATAAACTTAGTACACAAGCGCCATATATAAAGAGGGAAATTAAAACAATAAGTTGCAAAAATGGTAGACATTTAGAGACCAATGAGTTAATAAACTAAGAGAAAAGATTATCACAAAATCCGCATACAGAAGGCGGGAAAGATGGCACACGGAGCCTCGCTGAATGCATATTGATACTCTATACTTAGGACTCCCAATGAAGTCCGACAGGTAGATATAGTATTGCTGGTATGGTACTTAAAACAAAAATTACAATCAGCACAAATATCATAAAAACAGACTGAGCAGAAAAGAGAGCGGAACGAAGAGAAAAGAGACAAAAGACAAAGAAAGGGCTCCAGGAGGACCGCAACGGAAGAAAAAAAAAAATCTTATATCGACCAAAGAGACTTGTCAAATCTCAACGGTTGGGCTATATCAAGCCAGGGACACCTATTTGTGACATTTCAATAACAAAAAAGAAGACAAATCATAAACGAAAAAAAAAAATTAATGGTGTGATACATTGTAATCTGCACTAAGAAATGTCCTTCGGACTCAGTTATACTTGTTTTGCTGTTTGAAGTGTGATCCACTTTCTGTTCGCTCTTCAGATAACAATAGACAGGTGATGATGAGGCATAAGTATTTTAACTCCCTTAACCACCTCCCGCCTGCCATATTTTAGAATGACGGGCGCAAGGCGGTTCTCTCGTTCTGGGAGGACGTCATATGACATCCTCCCATTCTAACCGCACATGCGCGGCTCCGAGAGCACACAGCGCGGCAATCGGTGGTGTGCTGTGTCCCTCGGAACAGCGGATCACCCATCAACGGAAAGAGCCGAAGATGTTGGCTCGGTCATGTGATCAGCTGTGTCCAATCACAGCTGATCACATGTAAACAGGGAAATGCCGGTTATCTGCGTTTCTCTCCCCACAAGCTGTCACGCTGGCAGCTTCGAGAGGAGAGCCGGTAATCGGCATTCCGCGGAGGGGACATCTACACAGATCATCAGAGCACTGATGATCAGTGTGTCCTGATGATCTGTGTATCCCCAGCAGCGCCACCTGTCAGTGTCCATCAGTGCCAGCTCTCAGTGCTCATCCATGCCACCTGCCAGTGCCCATCTGAGCTGCCTTTCAGTGTCATCTATCAGTGCCCATCAGTGATGCCTGTCAATGCTCATCAGTGCCACCTACCAGTACCTCCTCATCAGTGCCCATCACTACAGCCTCATTAGCACACATCAGTGAAGGCGAAAAAAAATCACTTATTTACAAAATTTTATAACAAAAACTAAGAAAAAACATTTTTTTTTCAAAATTTTCAGTGGTTTTTGGTTTGTTTAAGAAAAAATAAAAAAAGAGGTGATTACCACCAAAATAAAGCTCTGTCACAAAAAAATGATAAAAATTTCATGTGGGTACAGTGTTGCATGACCGCGCAATTGTCATTCAAAGTGCAACAGCACTGAAAGCTGGAAATTGGCCTGGGAGGAAGGGGGTATAAGTGCCCTGTAGACTAGTGGTTAATATTAGACAGTGTTGTGTGGGGTTGCAATTTATTGCAGCACAGCCCTATTGACTTGAAAGGAACACTGTCGACGGGCACTATCACCGGCTGAGCATAATAGAGGGTATATTTTTTAAACCTTCGTTAAGGCTACTTTCACACTGATCTGCCGCAAAAATGAATGTGCGTTTTTGCCATGTTTTTACCGCGCTTTCTGAGTGATTTTTAAAGGACATATGACTTAAAAACTGCACCAAAAACTGTTTTTCAGGCATTTTGCACCTGCTCCAAGGATGCTGCAAGCAGGATTTTTTGCACTGCAATGGAAGCGCAACGCCCCAGTGTGAAAACATATTGGCATACATAGAGAAGCATCTTTCTTGAACTTTTCAGGTGTTTTTCTTTTACGCAGCAGTGCTTCAAAAACTCAGTGTGAAAGTAGCCTAAGACTTGCACTTGGGGGCATTAAAAGCATGTAGTTGGGATTTGTTTTTACTTCTCCCCCTTAAGCTGCAAAGGCAGCTAACAGGGATGTTCACTTGCCACAGGCGCAGCAAAATGTATTAGCCTTGTCATGTTTGGCGGGCAGTACTGACGCCGAACATGACCCATTCTAGTCAATAATGTTGTGCCATAACCACCACACAACAGTGTGCAATGTAAGTGGTTACAGTGCAGTAGTGCCGCATTAACAAAGGTGGAGAGGAGGCAACTTATTGCTTCCTCACTGTTTGTCAAATGTCTCTGAAAAGCTGCCTGACCAAGAGATTGCTTTTCAAAGGCGCATAAATCTTGACTTCTGTGTAAACCTAGTCTTTTTCATGTGTTCTCTCCCCCTCCCTTTTTAGCTTGTAAGCAGAGCCTTTACGTCTTTAAATCTGTTTCTTTGTAATGATTTTATTACATTTCCATTGTATTGTAATTGCTGACATTGTCCTTTATTGAACCAAGCTTTACAAAACTATTGCACTATAATGGAAGTATTTAAATGAGTTTGTTGCCTTTCTCCTTCAGTAAATATAGGTATAATTACTTGTATTGCACACAGTAAGACACACAGGGGAAGAACTTGTCTTTTTGGTATTCAGCGCGTTTGTGCTGAGAGCCTCTTGGGCGCGATTGCGTACAACCTTTTGTGAGTTTATCTCCCTCACACCAGTCCCTCTCCCTTCAGCCTCTTTGTCTTGAGTTATGGCCGTGAATGGGGGGCTGCATTGCGCAAGCTGCACGGTTCCCAAGATGGCACCAAATGTAAATGCAATTAACAGTGCATCCAATTATGGCGGCAATTACGCTGCAAGGACATCAGGGAAGAGTTGTTTGTGTGTAGACCTATTCTTGTATTGCAATGTGTTTAACGTCTCCTTCTCACTACCACTGGGACCTACACTGCTCTGTCTGATGAAGAGTGTCTGCATTTGTTACAGTCTCTTCTTTTCTGTATCCTATTGAATGGTTTGGGGGCTTTACATAATCTTCTTGTTTAGATAGCCGTTTTTTTTTTTTTTTTAATTAATGTACTTGATCCCTGTCTGGTGCTTATAAAACCGTATGAAGAAAGGCAGGTTTGTCTAGGGCAGGGGTCTGCAACCTTTAAGACATAAAGAGCCACTTGGACCCGTTTCCGAGAGGGAAAAAAAGACTGGGAGCCGCAAAACCATTGCAACATTTAAAAACAAATCCGACACTGCATATATTGCAAAAAAACGCTCTGGTCATGAAGGGGGTTTAAGGGCCCAGTAAGCAAAGGGTTAATCAGGGCCACAGTGTATCGTCATAATCACAATCATAGCCTTAGGTCAGTGGTGGGCAACCTTTTTTTTCGACTGAGCCAAATCTCGCCAAAACCACGATTGAAATTTATTTTGAGAGAAACATTTTTAAAACTGAAAATACATCCCCCATATAGTAATTCATCCCCCATATAGTATTTCATCCCCCATATAATAATTCATCCCCCCTAGTAATTCATCCCCCCTATAGTAATTCATCCCCCATATAGTAATTCATCCCCCATATAGTAATTCATCCCCCCTATAGTAATTCATCCCCCATATAGTAATTCATCCCCCGTAGTAATTCATCCCCCCTATAGTAATTCAGTAATATAGTAATTCATACCCCCTATAGTAATTCATCCCCCCATATAATTAATTCATAGTAATTCATCCCCCATATAGTAATTCATCCCCCCTATAGTAATTCATCCCCCATAGTAATTCATTCCCCATATTGTGTGAATTCACTTACCTTTGCTCCGCGCGTTCCTCTCGCTGGGTTCCCGCGCCGTTCTAGTCTTCAGGGCGGACTGTGAGAGGAGAGGAGTTCGTCACGCTGCCCCGCCTACATCCGGGCTGCCCCGCCTACATCCTGACAGCCAATGTTTGCCAGCGGGCGCCCGGCACACAGAAGATCTGAATTAAAAGAGCCGCGGCTTGCCGACCCTATTGCCTGTCACCTGGTGGGCAGTGTGCTCCGGAGCCGCAGGAAAGGTGAAAAAGAGCCGCATGCGGCTCCGGAGCCGCGGGTTGCCGACACCCCGGTCTAGGGTGACCAATTTAACTCTGTCATGGCCAGACTTTACTGATTCCTAGATGTCCAGACCAAATTTACCAGTGCCAGGATGCATCTGCTAACAAGTTTTCTTAGTAGATAGTCTTCCCTTTTTATTCATAAGAATGAATAGTCCAATCAAAACTAGAACCCCCCCCCCCCCCCCCCAGAATTTGCTACAATATTCATCTCCAACCCAGAGATTTTCACATCAGTACTTTTTTTTGTTCTGCTAGATGTCTTCATTCCGATGGCCATCATCCTTCAACCACTTCTTCTGAGCCCAGGTCATCCTGTACCCACCGCAACATGAAAGAGTAAAAAATAAATGCAGCATAGTGATGAGCTTATCTCTGGAACTCTGCTGTTTACTCCTATCAGCATGCTTCTTATCAGCACATGAAGTAATTGACTCCTTTTGCTGTTTGTTCCTTTCACACTCTAACTTTGCTATGCAGGAACCCTATGAGGCTTGTTAGTAAGGTGCTTAAAGCGCTTGCACTTAAAAACACATTTGATGATGTATTAATGATTAGAGATCTGTGTATTGTGTGTTGATATTTATATCTGCCTAGAATTTAGCTCGTAAGTTAAAGTGTATGTTGCCCAAACATTTCATATTCTTGATATTTGCCTGTGATATCATGCACTTGCATGCAAAAGTATCCTGTTCTCTTTGTATTGCTTCCTTTTGTGTGAAATACTTGATGATCTTGCTAGTCCCCAAGCTTTAATATTTGAAACTGACTATGCCAGGACATGGAAGCAAATCCTTCCCAGCATGGTCCGTTTTCTCCTTTGCATTTCACTTTGGCGCCCAGCCTGCCTGTCCTCCAGTGGTTAGACTTGTGCTAACACACCCCCTGGCACAGCTGCCTCCTTCTGACAAACACCCCCCCCCCCCCACACAAAAAAAAAACAAAAAACTCTGTGCCCTCTCTAAACCCATTATTCAACTGGGAAGAGAGGCCATGTGGCCACTTATTTTAAAAAAAAAAGTATTCTTAATGTTAAATATATATATTCTGCTTTAATAGTGTTGTCCCTACCTCACTTTGCAGCTAGGAGATGCTCTATGTACTTGGTCCCACCCTACTTGGTACTCACCTTATGCACTGTATTCTGCTGGAGCTATAAAACACTATGCTTTTTTGATCTATCTGATGTTCATCTGTTATGAGCTGTACAAGTTTAAAGTTTTCTACAATCTGCAAAATGTCATTGGGATAGAGTCACTTTCTGCAAAGCTGCTGAGACTGTAAGTTATGCTATCCCACCACAACTGGATCAGTTATAGAGATCGCACTTTAAGGGCTTAGACTTCAGAAGCAGAATAATTAGGCTTAAGTGTCCAGTCCCCTGGAAAGGAATTTAGATAGAAAATGAGTCTGAATGCTGATTTTTTTGGAGCATAAGACAAGAATTATGCTACTAATCATTAAAGGAGAAGTAAAGACAAAGCTTGTTGTAGCAGTTCGTTCTGCACGCCTGTGACCCATTTTCAGCCGACAGCAGGCAGAAGCAGAGATCAGTGACTGACAGTCACCAGCATTCTGCTCATGGAGCATGGAGAACTGAGCCATCAGTGGTCTTTGATTGCTCAGTTATCAGTTTTAGAAACTGCGGGGGACAGATGCAGCATTGGGCTGATGCTTCATGCAACTAGGTAAGTATGAAAAGAAAAAAAACCCCTAAACTTCTCTTTTAAATGAAAAACACAAGATTAAAAGATAAAAGTTAACTTGCATGTAGGTTGTGCCCAGTGGTGTGCGTTAAGAACATATATAAGACATGTGGAATTCTGTTTTAAAATGTTACTAAACCCACAACAGTAACATCAGTCTGAATATGCAGCAAAGCATGCTTGTTTACTCACGGTGGAACCTAATAAGTTAATTATCTGCATTGTGTAAAAAGGATGTGTGATCCTGTCTTCTCCGATCTTCCCCTTCTTGCACAGTCCCCAGTCCATCTGCTGATGGAACAGAGCCTTGGGGGCAAGCTGTACATGCTCAGCTTGGTGTGTATTGCTAGTGAGTTTTTTTTTTTTATTGGGAGAGTGCATGTGGTCAGCACATGCGCCAATCAGCACTGTGCATACAGAGGGTCAGGGGTCCTGCAGCCTCATAGGACAATCAGAGGAGAATGAAAACTCCTACAAGCTTTAACCAGTGCTCTGCTTAACACTGATAAA